TCTGTTGGCTGGAAATGAATATGTAAATATAATTGACAATCAACTAAATAAATAGTCCTAGATCAGCGTCTAAATACAAAAAAAGAAACTTCCGAGTAAAATAAAGGGGGCTCTATGGAGGATGAAAAGGCATATTTTTTTTAAAAGCAATATTTATCTATTAGATAAATCTAATTTATCTGTTAGATCTGTACCAGATAAAATGTTGATTTTCCAAATAAAATGCCTTTTCATCCTTTTAGAGTCTCTTTTTATTTTGCTCTAGCTTTCTTTTTTTTGTATTTGGACACTGATCTAGGAGTATTTATAAAGTTCGTTTGTCAATTATATTTATTATTTATTTCCTGGCAACAGATCCCCGATCCAGCCTTTCAGCCATATTTGTAGACCCCTTAAACGCTATTCGTGCAAAAAGAAAGCTCAAGAATAAAGTTTTTTTTTTTTTCAAATGCGATTGAAAATTTGTATGTTTTCAATTGGATTCGCAATAGATTCGTGGGAAAAGTAAGTCTTGATTAAGAGCGCCCGGGATATAGACGAGCTCTTTATTCAGAAGAGTAAACGGCATCCGTAGGAAGAAACTTTTATGGGAGCACATTAGTTTTTGCCGAGCAGTGCGGAAACACCCCCCAATTGTAAAACATAATAAAAATAAAAATTCCCTAGTAGCGAACCCCTTAGCGCGTCGGTTTCCAATACTGCTGACTTGGGTGCGAAGTTTGTTACAGCAATTTGTTGTTTCTTTTTTTCTGCTAAAGCAATTTCCTGACGGGCCACACTTTCTAGAGATTTGGAGCTCGTTGGCTGTCGACGCCGCCATAAGAAAACCCTTTTTCTTTCCCCTCTTGCCGCAAGGGAAGTCGGCACTTTCCATAGGCCGTGCCGTGCGAAGATGGCAGCCCTGGCGTCCCGCCAAAAATGGCTCGACGAAGGGAGAATCTTTCTGGCGGTTGCTCGCAACAGTTGTCTCCAAATATTCCTCGGCTTATGCAAAAGCCCACTTTGACTAGGGCCAGTTTCTACGCGTAATGTTGGGTAGTTTTAGAAACTTCCGCTTAACCACGTACTGCACGGATCACTATGAGAACTAACCACGTCGCACCTTTGTCCTCAGGTACGTGGCGGCACCTTTCCACCCGCATTGCGCGACTGTGCTACAGCTATCGCTTTGGTTTCTTTGCACATCATGGGTTAAAGTACGACCATAAAAAATGGTTTGCTACATTTTAAATATATATCCACAGCATGTTGCCTATTTAGAGCATAGTGGGCAGAACAGAATAACGATACTCGTACACATCACTACATCAATAATCTAAGTCAGTCCCAGATAACAAGACAAAGCAACTGTAAACGCAGCCTAGTAACTCATTTTCTAGGCTGCTTTGCTGTTCTTGCTTGGAATAGTCTGTGGTATTTTTGTATGAATGGTGGATCCTTATCGCTAATTCTCATTTGATTATGATTTATTGTAGAATTCCCGGCAGGGGCACCTGTTAAATGAGGTATTTGGTGAGTGGCGTCACCACGGACCCCGAGCCACGCGGGTTCGCCCGCCCACGTCTCGCTGTGCGTGCTTTTTCCTTGTCCGGGGAAGTGGTCACCCTTGTGGTTGAGTCGAGACCCAGATAGGTTCGGACCCTTCGTCTCGATCTTTTTGAGGCGGTGTCTGCTTGGTCGTCAGGTGCCGGTTGGAGTCCGCAGCACGTCGGCGGTTGTGCATAACCGTTGGCTGACTCTGCAATGCCGATTTCGTGTACCGGTGTTTCTCAGAAATCACCGTCGTGCCTTCGTTAGCTTCGGGAAGGATGTGTACGATTCCTCGGCCATGGTAGGCTTCGGAATGTTGAAGGAGTACCGGCCGGGTTAGCGCCTAGGCCGCGGGGATCAGTGAGGCCATGCCGCCCCATGCCCGACCTTAGGTTTAGCTCCGTCTATTAGGGCCGGGGGGGGGGGGGGGGGGGGGAGGAGGGTGGGGGGAGGCTGGCGTATAGGCTGTTATTTTTCTAACGAAGGAAAAAAGTGATGAGTGCAAATAATTAAAGTATTGATGAAACGTTTCTGTTAAAGAGTTCGCAAATGAGTAGCACAAAGTAACAATACGTTCAAGAAACATACAGACAGAGCTCTGTCTGTGCGTTTCTTCGTCCCGGTCAAACGTCGTTTAGAGCTGTTCCACCAAAACAAGCTTGGAGGGATCACCAGTATCCGCGCCACATCCGGCCCGCTCGTGCCCCGACTGTTAGTCCCGGCCAGCGACTTTTCACGACCCAAGACCCCCTCACCCGCCTAGACTTCCGCAATGCTCTCCTCTACGTCGATCGCGCCAGCCGGCAATCCAGGTTCTTCGGGACCAGGGACGTCGTTGAGCTCCAAACCTTGGAGCTCTTTCTACAAGTCTGGGAATCAGTCCCCCCCCCCCCCCCCCCCCCCCCCCTCCGACCTTCTGCGAAGCTCAAGGTGTTTGACAGGGTTAGGCTCCTCTACCATGTCGCCCTTACCGGATGGCAGACGGCCCTCCAGGGCTACGCCGACCCGAGCGCATCCTACCTTTTGGGAGCGCCGCTCCCCGCACCACAGCCCGCAGAGTTTTTGAAACCTGGGTCTAGGAGCGGCACGGGTGAGTGCCGCCTCCGAAACAGCCAACTGTCAGAGAGAGAGGTGTGGTCAGCTTATATAGCGATCACCCTCTCTCCCCCCGTCGACATGCCCCCAGCCAATCCCGAGAGGGAATGGGCGTAAAAAGAGTGCGGAAGGCGTGAGGGCATGTCGGTGGGGTTCTGTGCAGTGGGCAGCCATTTGGCCCTTAGGTTCCTTTTTATTGAAAGGCAAGAAATGGCTACAGCAAGGGTCCATGGCAGTGCGCGGAGGTGTCCGTTGGTGATGGCACACCGAAGTGCCTTGTTGTCAGTGAAGATCAGCGACGCGGTAGGGGCCAGGAGGGCGGCAGGAGTCTAAGCCACCGCGTCACGTAGGTAGATGTGGTGGTCCGGCGCGGTCAGGATGGCGAGGGCCGACGTAAGAGTCACAACACCAAGTCCGCTGTTTGAGGCATCGGCGTACAGTACCGTCACAGGGGGAGTAGGGGTTAAGGGGAGGGTGTGAGGCAGCGTACGCCAAAGTTGCTCGAACATAAGGAGCCACTGGAAAGGAGGGGGGGGGGGGGAGAGAGGAGAGAGCAGATTCAAGAGAGGTCGAAGGGCGCTATACCCCGTTCGGTAAAGTGAAAAATAAAAGGCCCAGAGTCCTGCTAGGCGACGGTACTGGGCAAGTGTGCACGGTGTGCGCAGCAAGGGAAGGGTGTCTGCAAGAGACTGAACGCGCTGAGGCGTGTGGCCGATAGTAGAGGTCACCGTGTTTAGGTTAAAGCCAAGGAACTTTATAGATCGGGATGGCGTCAGGTTAGTGTCCTTGGGGTTCACGCGGAAACCGCAAAGAAGGAGTTGTTGCACAAAAAGGTTAGTTTGTGCTTGGAGGAACGAAGGATCTGGGTGTGAGAGCAAACAATTGTCGATATACGCCCACGACCAGATCCCGCGTGAACGAAGAGTGCGAGCAAAAGCAGTCGCGAGTGACTGCATAAGGAAGGGGGCCGGTCGGAGACCGAACGGAAGACGGGTAAAAGAAAAGTAAGTCCCATCAAGGCGGAAGGTGGTCAATCGCTGAGTTGCGGGATGGAGCGATATGTGGTAGAAGGCCTCCGCCAGGTCCACCTTCGTGAAGTATGCATTTTTGGGAAGGGGGACCTGGAGGAGGACTTTTGGGAGAGGGTCAAGACGAAAACGAGGGCTGGTATTTGAGGTGTTAGGTGGCTTGCATCTAAGATGAAGCGGGATTCATGACTGGACTTAGGGGCTAACTGAATCGGGCTCAAGTACGGACCCCGGCGGGTGACTTGAAGGATACCCGAAGCCTTCATAGAAGCGACCGCGGCCCGGAGGACAGGGAGTTGGTCGGGGGGGGGGGGGGGGGCGGTTGTTGACTACGGAGGTAGCCGAACACTGGATCCGCAAGTTACCATAGTCTGCGGGAGGGTAGAACCCAAAGGTTTGGGATATGAGATGCCAGTGTACAACAGGTGGAGGAGCACTAGCTCGTACGGGGTGCCACTGAGGGCCAGGAAAAACAGGTAGGCGCGAGTCTTCCTCGGGTGACTCGTCGTCCCCGTCTGAGGGCTCATCGGAGTGCGGTTGGTCATGGAGCCATCGCAAAATGCGATCAGCCGCCAGGACCCAAGTGTCCTCCTCCTCCGTCTCCGAGGAGGAGAGGTGGGAGGAGGACGAGGAAGAGGCTAGGGAAGACGGTGGGGACAGGGGGGCCACCAACGGTATGTCAGCACAGTTCAAGGCTTGCAAGAGTAAGTCGGGGGGGTCTACAATGTACTGAGTGACGGCTAAAATATTTTGGCCATCGACGGACACTAGTACAGGACGAGGGTCATGGAGGACAAGGTCCAAGGGTTCTATAAGTTCCTGGACTAAGTTGGAAGGAATGTCAACACTCACCACTGTTGGGGGCGGGGAGTCAGGTAGGGGAGCGTACTGCGGAGTATCCCACAAGGGAAGGCGATGCATGATGAGTGAGTCCGGTGGGGGCTCCGCAGTTCGCCGAAGAGGGGGGAAGAATTCACTCGGCTGGGTCGACTGTCACGGGGACGAGGCGCTGCAGTTCGACCACGGGTGCCACGGTTGGCGGTTCCTCGGCCACGCTTGGACGGTCGAGAGGGCCGATCGGATGGAGGAGGGGTTGGCTGTTTCGGAGGCGGCACTCACCCGTGCGGCTTCTAAACCCAGGTTTCTGCATTGAGACCTCAAGACCTTGTGCGGACGCTTCCGATGCCCCCTAAGAAGACCGAGCGGTCCCACCGTTCACAGTCAACTCGCCCGCCTACCTCCCGTGGCGGCGCACCAGGTGATCGAAGCCCTCTTCCGGCAGTTACGCCGCCTGGCCCTACGAGTAGGGTCCCCTTTTCTTCAGTACCCGCCCCACCGTCCAACCCGATGGCCGCCAGAACCCCCGCCAACCCGGCACCGGCGACCACGGAACTTGTCGCCGCCCTCACCACCGCCCTTAGGGCTGCCTTTCCTGAGGCGCCCCCAACCCGACGTGCTCGTCTGTCCGAGGCTGCCCAGCCCGTCCCCATCCCGACCTCCGACGATGATGACGAGGAAGAAGACCTCCTCTTCAGAGGTTACCCAGCGAGCCAAGACCCCGCAGGGCGCTACCCCGCCAGGGTCCCAGATGACTTCGACCACAGCAGCGACAGTGGTGAAACCACTCCCAGGAGGGATCACCAGTATCCCCACCAGATCCGGCCCGCTCGTGCCCCGACTGGTAGTCGCGGCCAGCGACTTTTCACGACCCAAGACCCCCCCCCCCCCCCCCCCCCACCCACTGAGACTTCCGCAACGCTCTCCTCTACGTCGATCGTGCCAGCCGGCAATCCAGGTTCTTCGGAACCAGGGACGTCGTTGAGCTCCAAACCTTGGAGCTCTTTCTACAAGTCTGGGACTCCGTCCCCCCCCCCCCCCTCCGACCTTCTGCGAAGCTCAAGGTGTTTGAAAGGGTTAGGCTCCTCTACCATGTCGCCCTTACCGGGTGGCAGACGGCCCTCCAGGGCTACGCCGACCCGAGCGCATCCTACCTTTTGGGAGCGCCGCTCCCCGCACCACAGCCCGCCCCTCCTCCATCCGATCGGCCCTCTCGAGCGACCAACCGTGGCCGAGGAACCGCCAACCGTGGCACCCGTGGTCGACCTGCAGCGCCTCGTCCCCGTGACACCGTCGACCTAGCCGAGTGAACTCTTCCCCCCTCTTCGGCGAACTGCGGAGCCTCAACCGGACTTACTCATCCATCGCCTTCCCTTGTGGGATACTCCGCAGTATGCTCCCCTACCTGACTCCCCGCCACCAACAGTGGTGAGTGTTGACATTCCTTCCAACTTAGTCCAGGAACTTATAGAACCCTTGGACCTTGTCCTCCATGACCCTCGTCCTGTACTAGTGTCCGTCCATGGCCAAAATATTTTAGCCGTCACTCAGGACATTGTAGACCCCCCCGACTTACTCTTGCAAGCCTTGAACTGTGCTGACATACCTTTGGTGGCCCCCCTGTCCACACCGTCTTCCCTAGCCTCTTCCTCGTCCTCCTCCCACCTCTCCTTCTCGGAGGCGGAGGAAAAGGACACTTGGGTCCTGGCGGCTGATCGCATTTTGCGATGGCTCCATGACCAACCGCACTCCGATGAGCCCTCAGACGGGGACGACGAGTCACCCGAGGAAGACTCGCGCCTACCTGTTTTTCCTGGCCCTCAGTGGCACCCCGTACGAGCTAGTGCTCCTCCACCTGTTGTAGACTGGCATCTCAAATCCCAAACCTTTGGGTTCTACCCTCCCGCAGACTATGGTAAATTGCGGATCCAGTGTTCGGCTACCTCCGTAGTCAACAACCGTACCCCCCCCCCCCCCCCCCCCCCCGACCATCTCCCTGTTCTCCGGGCCGCGGTCGCTTCTATGAAGGCTTCGGGTATCCTTCAAGTCACCCGCCGGGGTCCGTACTTGAGCCCGATTCAGTTAGCCCCTAAGTCCAGTCATGAATCCCGCTTCATCTTAGATGCAAGCCACCTAACACCTCACATACCAGCGCCTCGTTTTCGTCTTGAACCCCTCCCAAAAGTCCTCCTCCAGGTCCCCCTTCCCAAAAATGCATACTTCACGAAGGTGGACCTGGCGGAGGCCTTCTACCACATATCGCTCCATCCCGCAACTCAGCGATTGACCACCTTCCGCCTTGATGGGACTTACTTTTCTTTTACCCTTCTTCCGTTCGGTCTCCAACCGGCCCCCTTCCTTACGCAGTCACTCGCGACTGCTTTTGCTCGCACTCTTCGTTCACGCGGGATCTGGGCGTGGGCGTATATCGACAATTTTTTGCTCTCACACCCAGATCCTTCGTTCCTCCAGGCACAAACTAACTTTTTTGTGCAACAACTCCTTCTTTGCGGTTTCCGCGTGAACCCCAAGGACACTAACCTGACGCCATCCTGATTTATAAAGTTCCTTGGCTTTAACTTAAACACGGTGACCTCTACTATCGGCCACACGCCTCAGCGCGTTCAGTCTCTTTCAGACACCCTTCCCTTGCGGCGCACACCGTGCACACTTGCCCAGTACCGTCGCGTAGCAGGACTCTGGGCCTTTTATTTTTCACTTTACCGAACGGGGTATAGCGCCCTTCGACCTCTCTTTGAATCCGCTCTCTCCTCTTGTCTCCCCCCCCCCCCCCCCTCCAGTGGCTCCTTGTGTTCGAGCAACTTTGGCGTACGCTGCCTCACACCTTCCCCTTAACCCCTTCTCCCCCTGTGACGGTACTGTACGCCGATGCCTCAAACACGGGACTGGGTGTTGTAACTCCTACGTCGGCCCTCGCCATCCTGACCGCGCCGGACCACTACATCTACCTACGTGAAGCGGTGGCTTGGACTCTTGCCGCCCTCCTGGCCCCTACCGCGTCGCTGATCTTCCCTGACAACAAGGCACTTGGGTGTGCCATCACCAACGGACATCTCCGCGCACTGCCGTGGACCCTTGCTGTAGCCATTTCTTGTCTTTCAATAAAAAGGAACCTAAGGGCCAAATGGCTGCCCACTGCACAGAACCCCGCCGACATGCCCTCACGCCTTCCGCACTCTTTTTCCGCCCATTCCCTCTCGGGATTGGCTGGGGACATGTCGAAGGGGGGAGAGAGGGTGATCGCTATATAAGCTGACCACACCTCTCTCTCTGTCAGTTGGCTGTTTCGGAGGCGGCACTCACCCGTGCCGCTCCTAGACCCAGGTTTCAAAACCTGTTCATGGGAGAATTATTCGTTCTCCCTCCTCCATTCCTTCGGTGTACCTGAAAGAGTTTCACAATGTTAAATACTTGAGCCGCGCCTCGAATTCTGCTGTTATTAGAAAAAAAACGCATTCCAGCTGACTGGAAAATTTCCTAGTTTCTACGCTCAAATGGAAAAAAAGAAAGGGTAACCAAGTCCTAAGTATAACGCGGCAATGAAGGCCTTAAAATGTGGGTGCCAGTAACAATACATTCTTACAAGAAAGTAAGGTGCGATGCTCTAGGAGCAACTAGCTCTCAATGACCTTTCCGCGGAGGTACACTGAAAGGTCCCGACAAGGGCAGTTTTTTCTTATCTTTTCCGTTTTTAAAGACTGTATTGTCTGCCGTTTACTGATGCAGTAACCCAGCGGCGTGTGAGAATTCTGACACGGTCAGTCTTCGTCACATAATATTTTTCAGGCAGACCAAGTATACTATTTCAGACTTTTACATTACCTACGCAAAAATTTACTTTACTCCACACCAAAAAAATTGCCTGAGTGCATACGCCATTAATAAACAAACGTGACGAATACCGGCCATAAGCACCAACTATCGCCAGCAAAGGTCAACTTCCAGTCAACTAAAATTCTGCATGGAATGGATTTGGTCATAACGGGTAAAACATGTCTTTTTTTTAAGATTACAAATTGTTTGCAAGGTGCGGCGGCTCAGTCACGCAATCTTTAAGTAGCCAACTGACCCAATCAGGATTGTGCGAGTGGTGCTAGCCGGTCCGCGGACTCTGACACGCTTTTTATTTAAAAAATGCACACCTGAAGCGTGTTGCGGGGGAACGTCCTCTCTCTGGCGCGCGTATGCTGTTTGGTGTGGATTACAGTGCGGCGTGAACAGTGCAGCTGAGCGCGCGCGCAGGGAAGGCGCGAGGGCTTCATGGCGGGCATCTTCGGCCACCGCGGGCATTTCGAGGGGGCCGAGATTGCAACGGCCTCTGCGCTGTGCGGTCGTGCGGTTGGCACTTGTAGTTGCTCGGAGATAGCGCGCCTGAAATTTGACCGCGACAGTGTGGAGGCATCCTTTTTGCTATTAAGGGTCAGTTAGCACAAAATTAAAATTGCCGAGCTCTAAGATGTTATTACACAACAAAGAGTCACGTGTGTGAGAGTACAATACTCGAAGGCTTTCCTGTTTTTCGGTTGATCGCACGTGACATCTGCATGCGCGATTAATACAATTGCTTGTTTTCTGTAGTTGCTGGATGGCTGCCGCTTGATATTCAAAAAGAGTAAGATTAAAAGTTTGAGTCCCCTTTATCTCCACGTTGCGCGAGCGACTGCAAATTAGTTTTGCATTCTTCGCTCAGTACTACACTTTGAATGAAGAAGTAGCTCCTCACGAAGATATGTCTCTCCTTGAAGTGCGTTGAAGGGGCACAGAAACGATTTATTTGGAAATTGTTGAAGGCGCGCGACCGGCGATTTTTTAAATATACGTTTGACGGAATTATGTTGACTTAAAGTTTTTATCAATTTTTCCTTTGCCTGTTTCAAAACATGACACGGTCGCTCCTGTAGGCAAATTCAGGTGGACTGAAGGAACGGGTTAAATACCTTTCGTCAATGTCGGAATAAAATAATTGCTTTCTCTTTGTCGTCTACGACAGTGGCTGCGGTAAAATTAGATGTTAGGTTAGCGTTGTTGGCAATACTGTTAACAAATTCGAAGATCACCACTCTTCATGGCTACCCATTTGAAACGCGAAGCGAGTTACAAAATCTGTTTTGGGTGGTTTCAAATGACAGACTATTTCACTGCGTTGCAGACTTCCGCTTCACTATTTGTTGAGACAACTCCTACGTTATGGCGCCCATAAATTCAATACAACTCCCGCATTTTTGCGACAAAGGCCAGCACGTTTTGTACACTCGGTGAGAATGCGTGAGCACAGTGTTGAACAACTAGATCTGATAGATATTTTCTTGCTTTCGAGTGCCGTTTCGTTGCTCTGAGCTTGCACTCAAATTCCAGAGTACAGTGAAACTTGGAGCAATAACAACTGTAACGCGAAGAAAAGCAAAACAAACGTGCATGAGGACAGAATAAAATACAAGCTTTCAAGTTGTTTCGAAAGAAAAGATTATACAAAGGACTTGGTCGGATATAGTTACTTGTGTGACGTATTGACACGTGACACTTTGTAACATCTTCATATAATGCTTAAGCTCGTCTAAAACGTGGTCAGGTCTTCTAAACCTATTGAATCAATTGAGATTTTTTCACACAAAAATGAAACTTCATTCTTTTCTTAGCAACGTTTACAACTCAGACGGTGAGCTTGCAAAGCGAGGGCTGCGACGTAAAATCCAGTGACAGGTCCTGGCTGGACGTCAGCGGCGAACTAGTTGCCGAACTACAGTACTACGTCTTCATGAACTGCGAGCGCCATGTCGTGGAAAGGAGAAACATAAAAATAAAGAAACAAGCAACAATTTTTGGTTTTTCTAATTCGCTGCAGTTACTGAACGAATCGACTTATATAAATAATTTTGATATAATTCTGTTGCCTGTAAATTTAACGACACGGGGCGTAAAACGGTTTACTTATATTTAACTTCGCAGGATGTCTTCAAACGCAAAAGTGCCAAAACAATCAATTTTTGGAAATTTCACAATTTTGTTTAACATAAACCAATATAGATAGGTATTCGTAAGGTTCAGTTTCTTAAAAACGTGTAATTCTGTATAAAGAAATCATTTATAAATGATATCTCACACAAAAATGCTCTGTGGTTGTGAATGGGAAATTATACGTCAGGCTAGCGCCCCCTATTGCCCTCTATAGTCGGCTATAGAAATCTATAAATACAGCTACAGCCAGCGAAAGAAAACCTATGGCTCTGTTTCTAAAGACTGGGAACCAATAGATTTTCTTTACCCGCCTATAGAGAATTCTAAAGTCCCG